CGCAGAGGGAAGGGGTCGGGAGCCCGGGGCGCGGATCGGGGGTCTCGGGAGGAAGGGTCAGAGGCCAAGGTGAGGAGGCAGGGACCAGTGCTTTCTTCCGCTCCCAAGTAGTGGCCGGAGGTGCTTTGAACAAGTCGTTTGGTTCTTTGCGACTCAGTGTCCGCGAAATGGGCGGTGAGAACATGCAGGAAGGCAGGGGGTGAGTGCGCCAGGGTCACAGGTGTTGGGCGCCGGGGACAGACTTCTCCGTCCTGGGGAAGCCGGCCTGTGCACCCCGCCATCCCCACCCTTCTCCCCGCCCTGAGGCCTGAGGCAGATGGCGCTGGAGTCTTCCTGCCTCGGACACCTTCGAGCTGATGACAGAGAAACAGGGGGAAAGGGGACACCTCTCAGTCTCACCCCACAGTGGGTATGGAGAAGAGATGAGGGACCCAGGCCCTGAGTCCAGGCCTCGGAAACTGGGAGCAGTGGGCTGTGCCCCCGGGGCCACCAAGAGCACCTGGCCCTGGGCAGGGCACACAGGACACTAGGTGTGTGCCTGGCGCCTTAGAGAAAGGGTTCAGGGGCAGCTGGCCCGGCGCTGCGTGCTGCCCTCTGCCTGCCCTCCACGCTGCGCCCTGGGGGTCTGGCTGAGAGACGGCTGAGAGAGGCGGCGTGCGTGTAGGTGGCTCGTCCCCAGCTGTTACCCTCACTACCAAGGTAACAGTCCGCCCTTGATTGCCGCGTCCCTTTTATGAACAAAGGAGAAACAATGTCCTCTGACATCGCTAGAGCTTCGGAGGCCCTTTTAGAGAGCCAGAGGAACGGGAGCTGTTTTCTTGGAAAGCCACTTAGAATAAATGTTATGCTGTCGCCGTCTCTTGGCAGAAGAGTCTGACCTCTTTTTGTAAGTGTTCGCTGCTTGTCACCAGGAGACTGACGTGCGGCCGTCCCCACTCTCTACACCCTCTTACTTCTTCCCGGAGACCCCCTGCGCTTGCCACTGCTGCCTGTGACTGTGAGAAAAGACGGTTGAATAGGTAAGTAGGTCAGTAGCACGGGTCTCCGGGATGTCCCAGGATGTGTGGAACTTAAATATTAAACAGAGAAGAGAGAAGAAAAGCCACTCAGGAGGAGAGATCAGGTGGCAGAGAGCTGCTTAAGATGGCTGTGAAGGGGATCTCGTTCGTGGAGTGCGCCAAAGTGCTTGCTCTGGAGTTTCAGAACCCAAAGACGCAGGCCCTACCTCAGGGACCGTGGGGACAGAGGTGTTACAGTTAAGGGCTCTTGTCAGGATGCCTGGGTCCCAGTCTGCTACTTCCTTGATTGGTGACCTTGAGCAGGTTATGTATACACTCCGTGCCTTGGTTTCCCCATCTCTGAAGTGGGGACACTAATTGGACCTGCTGCCGAGCGGTGGCGAGAATTACCTGGGAACGCGTGGCAGCCCTTCTCAGGTGCCCAGCGCAAAGGGAGAGCTCGGTGAGTGTCGGCCACTGACAAGTGCAGTGATGTTTGTGGAAGGCTGACTAGGTGCTGGGCATGCTGGTTGATGCTGGGGAGACAGCAATGACCCAAACAAACAAAATCCCTGCCCTCGGGTGCTTGCCTTCTGGTAGCAACGGGAAGCCACACCCAACCCCAGCCTAGCAAGCCAGAGGAAGATGTCTCCAGAGAAAATACCAGTCCCTGGGCTCCCCCCTCCCGACGTCTGCCACCACCCCAGAGCACCGTGGCCTACAGCAGGGGCTTCAAATTTATTGTTGACACCCTACCCCCTGAAAGAATTCTTTTTTAATTTATATGCTTTACACATTGTTAAATTGACATCTAAAATGGCTTTTTTAGGCATAAATTTAAATAGTTCGGGGTGTATCGTACATACTGATCTTCACTACATTATGTCTCTTTTAAATGTACCCGATGGGACTAAATACTATAAAAATGCAAAACCACCATATTATGCTTAAAAATATAAACAAGTTTCTCTTTCACAGTCAAAAAATTTACATGTGTTCTTTACAGCTTCGACGGATGTTTTCATTCCTACCGGAATGTTTTTATCATTTAAATTTTTTATTCATCACCTTATCTACTATGTAAACTGCAACAAATATATATACACACATTAACTTTTTAAATTTTTCTTATGGCCAGAACTTAAGGCTGTAAGTTTCAAAATTCCCTTTAGGATGGTGTNAACGGATGTTTTCATTCCACTTCCAGCAGAATTTCATCCTACCGGAATGTTTTTATCATTTAAATTTTTTATTCATCACCTTATCTACTATGTAAACTGCAACAAATATATATACACACATTAACTTTTTAAATTTTTCTTATGGCCAGAACTTAAGGCTGTAAGTTTCAAAATTCCCTTTAGGATGGTGTGATTATAACAATTCCTAGTGGTATATAAATGATAAAGGCATCATACATATAATATGAAGTTTGATAAGTAATTATTAAACATTAAAAGGAAAATTGTATTGGAAGTACATCACTTAATGAGGTGGATGGGGAGAGGATTTTTGCAGCCTTGATTAAAGAGACACCAGTATTGTCTGTTTCTTTGGTGCCTGGGATGTTTTTATACCTCAGGACACTGTAACAAGAGGTCAGACTCAGGGTGGCTGAGAGGTGACTTTTCATTCACAGAGAGACTCTTTCATCCTCGTGTGTTGCAAGGTGATAAAGTAGCATCCTCATATGTCCACCCAGCTCCATCTCAGCCACATCCACTTTAAAACAGAGGACATGGAAATTGAGGGTCGGGCTGGCCCGGTGGCGCACTGGAGAGTGCGCCGCTTGGGAGTGTGGCGGCGCTCC